CATACATACATACATACATACATACATACATACATACATACATACATACATACATACATACATATATATATATATTCCATTTCTTCATCAGACTCAATACACAGATCAAGCTTTCTCTATTTCCTTATCATTTTCATTAGAAAAAGAAACTTAAGACTCTACATGTTAAGTCAACATGTACATGACTGATTAAGTCACTTACGGCGACCAGAACGTCTGAGTAGACAAGTCCATTGTTGTGGTCTTCCCTGGCTGCTTCTGCAGCTGGTTTTAAGGCACCAGCTATGGCTAGAGGCAAATAGGCAGAATTTTTTAAATTAATGAAACTTCCCTTCAAATCACTGACAAAACGTAGGCTAATAAAAAATTATAGTATGTACTCACAAGGAAAGTGAAATCATTGTCAATCAATCAACATAGGCCATTTAAGTGCAACAGAAAACTGGAATTGCATAGTTTCCCAGTCAGTACATTGTATGTACTACATACTGGTAAAGGCTGCCCCACAGGCCACATCAACCTCATCAGCAGAGAGAACTGTGGGAGTCCCCGCAGCCACACGGTCATGCAGGTCTTTCACCACAAAATGGGTCTTGTTTGAGGCAGAGACCTGTTATAAATGTTTTTTAAGGTAACATTTGCATTACGTTACATTTGCACTGCATTACAGAACCAAACATTTCAGACTTTGGGAAGTGTTCTGGGTTTTTGTGACCTTCAACTTTATAAATATACTAGATTTCTTGATTCTTACTTATTGACCTGTCATCCTCCAACAGACATAATAACAGACACAGCTCAGCTAAGTTACCCAAAACAATACACTTCTCTATGCTACATGTACCTACCCAGAAATAATATCCTTGTTGAGCCTGCAATGTTATAGGAAAACTTTGAACACACAAAGAAAGAAAAGAAATGATTGTGGCTATTCCCCTGTTGGGTGCTGCTAAGGAGCGTAACACTAAGAGTTCCTCTAGCGGATATGTACATCGTTCTTACCATTGCTAAAGGTGTCAGTAGATCACCCACAGATGTAGCCACTGCCAGGGCTCTCAGTGTTGCCAACTGGACATCATAGTCATTGGAGGTGTCAATGTTGTCCAGTTTGGTGATTACTTTCTCCAACAGCTGGACAAACAACAAGAGGTAATGTACGTAATGTATGTATGCATGGTGTCCGAAGGTTTGTGATAACCTACAACTTTATTTCCCAGTGTTCCTAGTTTTACATTTTGTCACATAACTGTAACTGTACCTGTGAACTACAAGCACATGTAACCTCCATTCATGTTTATCTACCACTTGTCTTTGAGATACATGTATCATGTATCTCCAGTGAAGCACTGCCCAGGTATACACAGTTAAGAGATGCAGGAGTGCATTATACCAGGGCTGCCTTGGGTTGAACTTTTTCAGGGTGGCAGGGTGACCTGGTGGGATTATGTTAGTTGACATTTCAGAGCTGGTGTGAAATGTAGTTTATCAGACATATATACAGATTTGGATTATGTATACCATCTTACCTGTTTTAACTTGTCCTTTATTCCAGGCCCTACTCCGCCCCCTTGCCCATTATTTCCCTTGCCGATGTTCACTGCCACTGCCGCAATGCTTGTTGCCAGAGCAGCTGCTCCAATTTTGTTCCCTCTATCCAGATTCTTGCTGAAAGCGCTGTCTGGACCATCCAGGAGCGGAGGGGCCCAAACTTCAATAGGATCAGCAGGTGGGCCAATCTGTCATACAGATAAACACATTTCAGGAAAACAAACTTGATGAGGTGAAGAAACCCTGCTGCCTTTGGTTTTATGTTTAATCTTTACAAAACAATTGCTTTTGGACCAATCTACAGTCAGCACTGAGTAGAGGTGGCCACCTAGTTTAACTGTACCATGTAAATGTCTAAAATAAATACAACTTACTGTAATAGAAAAGTCCACCTCTAGTTCCTGAAACTCCACACATGTGACCTTGACCTTGAAGTTCACCACGCCAGAAGGCAGGAGACTTATAAGGCTGTAATGAGCCTGCAAGAGACATGACATGTCTTATATCCTATCATTTCAAAGTCAAAAGAAACTCTCTTTATAAATCAATCATCGGCAGTAAACTGCTGATGGTACATAAATGATCTAAAACCATTAGCAGCTCACAGAGAACACATTCTTACCATAATGATTTATATAATATAATAACCACCCACACAAATATGCCTGTCCCTGGTGCTGAAAACCATCCACACACAGGAAAAAAACCTGTCCTTGGTGCTGAACACACACAACCTTCCACACACAAAACCACAACTGTCCTTGGTGCTGAACACCTTACACATATAAACACACATCTGTCCTTGTTGCTGAACACCTTCAACCAATAAGTACACACCTGTCCTTGGTGCTGAACACCTTCAACACACAATCACACCTGTCCTTAGTGCTGAAAACCTTCCACATACACACATATGCACACATATCATCTCTATCTCTCTATCTCTCTTTCTCTCAAGTTTGCTGGCAAAACATCTTCTATCAATTCAGCACAAAATCTGATTGATAATCAATACCTACCAATCCAGTGTAAGGGCCTACATAAGGAGGAGTTGTGAGGACAGGTGTTGTTGGGAAGGCAACAGCAGCCATTGCGATTCCATCTGCCCACCACAGGAACTCGTAAGTCAGTGGGTGAAGGTCATACTGAAATTCTGCAGGCACATTAAGTGAACTTTTATAAAAACTATAGACTTTACAAAAATCTTAAGACTCCAAAATGTTTAGGACTACACACTTCCTTTCACTACAGGCTATTAAGCAACTGATGAGCAACCAAATATTTAACAGATTGCTCAATGAATTTTATAGACTAACAAATTTTAAAGCACATTTTGAGTCTTTGTTGTCTTTTAAATCGTACTTTTACACTAGTAATCATTTTCCAACGATTATAAAATATAGGGTCATACAACATTGGTCGCTCAACAGTTGCTCAGCAATTGTCATCCTGTGCAAAGGAGGGCCTTAAGCAAGTTAGACTTATTCTAGTAAACATACCATCACAGGAGACACAGGCTGACTCCAGGACAAGCGGCAGAGCTGGTACAATCCGACAGGGATTGTCATTGGGCTTGGTGAATGTCACAACGTAAGCACTGTACTCTATGTAGTTTGTGGTTGCCACACCTCCAACAAACAGTGTTGCACGCATTGTGTAGGTTCCCAATTTCTGTAAATAGATATGTAAGAACACTGCAAACTACCCTCCTATAGATTGTGTAAACTACATATTTGGCCATGATAATCAATCAATGCCTTGTTGTGACTTTCTTCTATTCTAACAGAAACTTAAACATGTTTTAGAACAACTACATATTAATCACATTGAAGAAACCATAGTGACCATAATAAATACTTCCTTTAAGGAGTGTTCAAAAGATATCAGTTACTGATTCAGAAAGGCTTTTGCATATCAACCCAAATGAGTGTGTTGCACCATGTGACAGTTTACCACACTGTTTAAGTTAACATTAAGCACACTGAAGTAGGCTTTGGCTACCAATTCTTCCTTGGTTACGGGGGGTTAGGCAAAAGGAAGAAGGTTATATGACATGTCAGAGGTCAGAGGTGGCAAGGTTTGAGTGCGACTGACACAGATAAGGTTAAACTAATATGCAGTAATAAAGTATGCATCTTTTACTTCCTAAATTCATCATCTATTGGAAAATGACATCTGACTTTAAGCTGACTTAAACTAAATTTGAGAACATAATTATCATGCACACTCACTGTAAATGTGAAGGCCAGTACTTCCACAGTGGGTCCAGTGTCGGTCCCTTCTGTTGTGTCTGTGGCCCAGTTGATACCAGTGAAGCCAGCAGGTGCTACAGGAACTGTCCAGACGATATTTCCCACCATGGTGGTCACCACCTCCAGTTTGAAGTTGTACCATGCTAGAACTCTCCCATGGTTGCAGTTTCCACGGCAGCTGGACAAACATTTTTTTTTACAATTAAGAATTAAGTCACTGAACTTGTAAACCACACAGTCTAGAACTGTGGCCTGACTATATCACACTTCTAGCAACCCTTCTGCTGGTCAGGCCCCTACAGAAGGCACTATCAGCCCCTGACAGTGAAAGATTGTGTAACATGGGCTATCTCAAACTGTTACTGGGATATATAATCCCTGTGCTGGTCTAAGAATGTGTGATGAGGAAAGATGATTGGCATAAAATATATGTCATTGAAAGTTGCTGTACTCTATGTTGTAACTGTTAGATAATAATGCTGTTAAGTAAACAAAATTACTGATTAGATAGTAAATTAGTTGATCAAATAATTGTGGTCAGACAACCCGTTAAGGTAATTTAATAAATTTTACAGTTTACCTCTCCTTTGTTAGAAAAGAAAGATACAAGAAATTAAAGAGCATCACAGAAAAACAGAAGACATGGCAGAAAAAAGAGTTCATGGTTACAAGATGAACAAGTCGATCCCTGGAGGTACGAGTTCTGTGATGATGGAGTGGGTTCCAGGCAGGCGCCCTGGGTAGGAGATCTCCACCGTGTGTTTGATGATGGCTCCCGGAGCACCATACAGGTGGGGCTGACCAGCAGCACCGTCGGTGAAGTCACAGACATAGTCCCCTATGGGAGTGGGCTGTGCAGGGGAAGCTTCAATGTTGATTGGGATTGTCACTGGGAAAACATACATATATTACATAGACTTTTATTATCGTTATTATTCACATATTATATTGGTCTCAATGGTGAAATACCCCAGGATTCTGCCTCAAGTGGCATCTGGTGGTCTCTCAAACATACAAGTTTTCAAAATTATAAATATGGTAGATACATACCTGACCACCGGGTTACATACATCCACCACTTTGAAAAATGGACCCAAAGAGCTCTTCAAAGCCCAGTATAATGCACATCATACTTGGTGTTGCAAAGACAATTTTTCAGAGTGGCAGAGACATGTAACGTGGCGGATAAATTTTAATGGAGGTTATAAGGTTAATGTTAGGAGGAAATATACACTTATCAAACACACACCCGTGCAGTAGCCCAAATGGCAGAAAGCCACTGGACGAAGGTAGTAGACGTAGAATCCGGAACAAGCCATGGCCAATATCCTCCAGGTAAAGGCACAGGTGTCGCCGTTCCATTCAGCACATGCTGTTCTGCACACTGGACCCTCTGACAGTGCAGGCTGGGGGCCGTCCATCCACACTCCTGCACGTGTGCCGCATCTGTATCAGCACAAGGTAACAACATGAGGAATGCTTTATCAGGATGAAAATACATGAATTGCAGCCTCAGGCTGAATTACATGATATGTGATAATTTCTTATAGCAAGATTGAGCTATGACAATTGAATCAATTTGTGATTTGAAAGCTTCACAGTCAAGCATAACATATGATTACTGAACAGATAATATTTGATGTGCCATATAGCCAGTTAATGTTATCAAAATATTATGGGACAGTGTTACAGGAAGTCTTAGAAGATGAGAAATACAAACCGATAATTGGAGCCTGGAGGTGTGTTAGCCAGGTGGTTACCTGCCGCCCCTTCAAAACGATACCAACCGGCTGTCCATGTGAAGGGACCCCCATTGGCATTTTCATTTCCATCACAGTGTTCTGTACCTGGTGTAAGATGGTCAAAGACAGTGGCGAGGTCTCGCCAATCATCAGTCAAGGATGTGTAGCTGGTGCAAGCATCTGACGTCACTGTGTGATAAAAAAGAGACTTAAATTTTCTGTGTGACAACTGGTGGAGGTAACATTAGTGGAGGTAACATTACTTAAGCAATGCATAATTTATAAATTATGGCAACTGGGTAGGTTTAGCTGCAAGTATATAATTATAATATAATGACTACCAGCTGTTGGTAGCTGCAGAATTTCGTAGGTCCATGCGTAGTTGAAGTCGAGGATACCCAGGTTGCCCTCAGGGTCCCAGGAGTACCAGGCGTCCACTGTGTAGTCGTCGAAGTGTACCATACGTCTGGTCCCCCCGACAATGTGAGCGACCAGGGCTTCTTCTACTGCCTCCAGCCAGGTCTGCTCCATGTAGGTGTGCAGAACTCCTGATGTCTCTGTCACCGTCACTTGGAGCTGTGAGGAACAGAAAAGGTGTGCCATAACACCACAACTGGCCACAACTGACCACAACCAGGTCTAGTATACAAGGTACATGGCTTTTTGGGGCAACAACCTTCAAGTTATGTGATGTTCTGAATACATTGTCTAATGCAATTATGAATAGAAATGGAATTATCAGGTAAATATTTAAGGCTTACCTGTGTTTTCTATTCATAAGCATCTATATTAGACAATGTACACATTACCTCAAGTAGGAGGACACCGCTGCTGACTGTGTCAGCAGGGATGGTGAAGTCTTCTGCATCCATCACAAGAGCAGGAACAGTCTCCACAGTAATCTGAGTAGGAGTGTCAGGGTCATCCAACCTACATGTAATACATATTTAATATCAAGTCGGATACTTGTTATGTCTTGTCCTGAAATTGTTCTCAATCACTCAGATGAAGGATAGTGGGTACTATCTGAAATGTCTCAGAGCATTATTCACTCACTTGATTTTTTTTTTTATGTAATAAATGTTCTTCCTGGATGTCTGGACTTCATTGAAGTCTGGCAATCAAAACCATGCCTACCTGTACAGCATCCACTTCCAGGTCGTGGTTGGGTTTCCATTGGTGCACTGAGCTGCCACATGGCTTGTGAATGGGACAGCATGCTTTACCTGAAACACCAACCGATTTTCCAGTGGCCTTAGCCCCTCGAAAACCACGGCATCCACTGTGCATGCACTGACAACTGTTGTACCATCATCCAGGCAGGAAGGCTGGATGAGGGATGTGGGGCAGATGACAGCTAGGCGTGGGAAAGAGAAACAAATGTATGATAATCAATTTCAAATTGTTTTCTTTTGCATGTTTGCATGTTTCTTTTGACCAATGGCAAACAGTGGCCAATGCCTAATGGATTATATAATGTACTATCTTGCTGTTTAGTTAGAACTTTATCAACAGAGGATCTGCTTGGAGATTAGTTTGGCTATTGGTTACAGGATTGGGCAGAAGAGAGAAGATTAATGCTGATGACTTATATCTTGTCTGACACTGACTTCTTCCCTCGTGACATCAATAAATAAAAAGCAGACAGCAGACCAATTTGAGTACATGATCTGTATTTCATGAGTAAGCAAACTTATTAGAAACATTAACAAACATGTAGCCTTCTTACTCACATGCACATAGGTTGGTGACATCGCTGTTCTGGTGCTCACACACACAGTTGGTACAGGGCACGCCCGTGTCTGTCCCCTCGTGGCACGTACACATCTTGCCTGAACCATCGTAGCAGGGTGACAGTTGGGAATACACACCAACAGCAAGGCTCAAGATTACTGCTCCATAAAAGAAAAGAAAATGACAGAAGGCAACAATGTCAATGTTTCCTATATTCAGTAGTGCTTTTAGCAACTTTCAGACATGGAGGACGTTTCTGCAGTGTCAAGTGTCATTTTGATTATTTTTCTCAGATACATGTACAAACAATACATTTTTTTGGCTGTCTAGTGTTTGTGTTAATTCCTGAACCAACATACAAGCAGTCTGGTTATTTCAATCAGCTGATAGAATTCTAACAAACAGGCTTGCAGCAATGCAAAGAATACAGTAATACACATGAACATTATTGTCAGTATCTGCCCTCATACTTCTAACCCATATATTTATGGGAATTGTTATACTAATACCTATCATTTCTTTTAATGTCTTCCGATGTGTTAACTACATGTATCGCTCTTAAAATACTTCAAGAAAGAAATCAATTGGTAGTGCCGGGACCGACCACTATAGATTTACATCATAATTCACCTGACTGGTGGGTATTTTGTTGTTAGGACATCAACACAGTTTGAAAAGAATCACTGGGTGTAAAATCCATACCTAAAGCAGACAGCCATTGCCAATGTTTTCGTAGAGGGTCCAGGTCGATGCAGCACCAGCGATGAAGCATCTTGTCTCTCAATCCTTGATATAGGCTATGACGAGGAATGTCAGTGTAGGTTTCCAATGATGCAAAATGAGCAGTCACCAGGAAAAGCTCAGAGTCCCTGATGACTGCAGAAATGCTGGCTGGTCGATGCCTTTGTCACCGCATGGGTGTGTACCAAACAACATGGTTGTGCTTGACGTGATCTGTAGAAAAGATATAGCAATTATAATAAAAGCAATTATCCATACAGTCACTCAAACTGTCACTTAAGCACATGAAGTAGAATACTCCAGGAACTCTGGAGCTGAGCCTGTGTTTACTTGATGTGCTGAGGGTTATTGACCCCCACCCCAAGATGTGGGATGGTAACCGTCAGTGGACTGGCCACTGGAGCGTGATGCCAGGCTATATTTCAGAACAAACAACAGTACTACCAGGTATGCAGACATATCATACCCAAAAGTGCCACTGCAGTACCTTAGAAAGCTGCAAGAATGCTCATTATCAATTTTGAACTTCATATTCCCAACCCCAACCTACCAAAGAAGTATATTGTGAAAATGCATCACCAATGTCAAAAGTTATGAATCCTGTCTAGACTAAGTCTATTTCCATCATAAAAGGCCCGCAGCTATTTCAATGAATGCTACACTAGGTCCCTATTGCCCAAACACCCGATGTATATCCTACTCACAAATGAAGACCATAGCATGTCCACAACATGAGAAATCATACCCATGTACACTGCTGCAATACCACACAAAGCTGCTAGACCTTTGTCATCCCAGCCCCAACGTACATTTTGTACCTACAAATTTAATTAACTTTGCGATACACACCCAATTTTATAACCGTTTAAACAACCGCCAAGCCCTATATACATGTACATGTATGGTGCATGTACATGTACCTATTACACAATTAACCTTAAAGTTTTTGAAGAAGATAAGAATGTTCAATCTAAAGAGATGCAGTCTGTGTACTAAAATTTTCATGCAGTATCAGTAATCATCGAGGTGTGTATACCTCAGATACCTGGATGTCCAAGACAGTTTAAGAGGGATTTGATAACCCCATTTTCTCAAAGTGGCAGTCTTAGGGAATTTGGCAGAATTATAAGAGTTGATGTTACATTATGGTATTTGTGCTGAACTGAGCACAGCATCACTATGGATACTGGATGACCTCTTCCAATTATGCTTACTAAAGATATGGTTTAAAGTGTTTTCGAGAATATATAAAGAAACAGTGGGAGTGTACAATTTGGGAATCTGTCATACTCAACAGACTACAGAACTAAAAGTGTGTCATCAAGCAACACTGCGAAGCTAATAAAGTGGCCTTCACCTGTCAGTGTGCATTGTGATACTGTATGAATTATAGTGTCTTTCTTTATTCCGCTTGTCTAGACAATATTTACAGTGGAAGAAAAAAGAATCAGACAGAGGAAGAAATGGGCAGACAATAGGGACCCATTATGCTAAGGGACTACATACAAAACTGATGCAGCATGATAAATTAGGAGTGACATGTTTTTCTTTCACTGCAGGAGAGTTAAAGTTGTTGCCTTGGTGACTGCGTCACAGGTGTACGTAGGAAAGGACACACCTATATCTGATATCCCCTAGAGACAAACCTTCCCATATGAACCTTTTTGTTTTGAAGAAATTACTGCAGCTACAGTATCCAAATTATGGACACTTTAAAGTAGAGATCGGGCATCATAAAATCCTCTACAAGGACAGTGTAATACATGACTTCAGCCACTGCTCTATTCTTTGCATAATTTATTAATGTCATACTAGTACTACTAGTGAGTGAATGTTGTCTTATTTCTTATATTGTTATCAATCCATCACTGAATATGTACAGATTACTGAGTCTCAATATGCTATCAAAACTGCAAATGCAGGAAATTACACAACACCCTGTACTTCTTCCATTCTACTATCATGATTGTGGTCTCACAGAGAATAAATGATTCGTTAAAGCATGCAAGAAAAATGTCCAAGATGTCACGACATCACAAACAAGTCAGTTAGTACCTCATAGAACATTGAATTACTTAAAACAATTCAACATGAATCAGTTAATATGTGTCAGTTGATATATGTTGACATTTACTAATATGTGAAAGTATGTTAAGATTTTACCTAAATAGTATACACCATGTGTTATGTACATGTAGATGATGACAAATGAGTAACCTGGTGTGTCAAGTTTGGCAAGAACCAGTAAAAATTTGACCTCTATACATGTAGACATGGGTATTACAATCTTAACCAGAACAAACCAATCATAATATGACATTACAAATTTGGTGCCAAAAGCTGCCTTAGCAGGAAGGTTAATTTGCAGTACATGAACAAGAGCAAACAACAAGTGATTCAGAAATATTTCCTTGCCATACATTTAATATACTTTTATCATGCCCTGTTCTTATATTTGATAGTAAATATCAGTGTCCAATTTATACAATTCATTACAGCTCTCAATATTATACCTTTACTATATACAGTTATCATCATATTGTTTATGACTTATTAGAGTATAAGTATGACAGTTATTTATAAAGGTAGGTTAGTCTCTTAGCATTGTTAGATATTAGCAATATCAGATTATTCCATATAAATATCATGTACAATTTGCCATACATTCTTGAGTGTACAAATGTAGTGCAATAAAATTCTTTTTCTATAAACATGTTGATATAGTCAACTACTCGCAAATCTGCCTGAGGGCTATGAGAAATCCTTTTGGAATAAATCAGAATCTACTCCCATACTCCAGGGCATTATTGGTATGATTGAATGTTTCCCTGTAAACCCCGGGATCTCCCCACAGGCTCACTTGATAACTGTTTGACCTGTCTCGGTGCCTCCTTGTATCCTGGGAGGTCTCCCGTGCCTGCTTCTTCACGCGTTGGCGCACGAACGCCATCATCCTCAACTTCTGCACCTCTGTGTTCACATTTGCGTCCGCGTACGTGTCCATCAGGATGGCCATGAACATGGTCATCAGGAAAAACTGCATGGTAACCTACAAACAATATATATAATATATAGTCACACCACATGCAGTGAGTAGTTACTTCTGCAGTGTTTGAAACACAATTAGTTTTTCACCAAAGTTACAGTGATGCTGTCGGCAATACAATGTCATGTGGACAATGTCATTGACAAGTATACCTCAACAAATTTGACCTATCATCTGTTAGCTATACTTCAGTTATACAGCACCAAGGACAGTGTCTGTGTGGTAGTTTTCCAGCACTAAGGACAGGGACAGTAGTGTCTGTGTGGTAGTTTTCCAGCACTAAAGACAGGGACAGTAGTGTCTGTGTGGTAGTTTTCTAGCACTAAAGACAGGGACAGTAGTGTCTGTGTGGTAGTTTTTCAGAGCCAAGGACAGGGACAGTAGTGTCTGTGTAGTAGTTTTCAAGCACTTAAGGCAGGGACAGAAGTGCCTGTGTGGTTGTTTTTCAGCACCAAGGACAGGGACAGTAGTGTCTGTGTGGTAGTTTTTCAGCACCAAGGACAGGGACAGTAGTGTCTGTGTGGTAGTTTTCCAGAACTAAAGACAGGGACAGTAGTGTCTGTGTGGTAGCTTTTTTAGCTCCAAGGACAAGCAGTAATGTCGATGTGGTAGTTTTTCAGCACCAAGGACAGGGACAGTAGTGTCTGTGTGGTAGTTTTTTTTAGCACCAAGGACAAGCAATAATGTCAGTGTGGTAGTTTTCCAGCACCAAGGGCAGGGACAAGGACAGTAGTGTCTGTGTGGTAGTTTTTTTTAGCACCAAGGACAGGCAGTAATGTAGATGTGGTAGTTTTTCAGCACCAAGGACAGGGAAAGTAGTATCATTTATTAACTAAATTACAACCCCTGTCAATTAAACAAATAAGGGCAAATAAGGGCCCACTCATCACCTGAAAAAGGAAGAAGAAGATGGGGCCATAGATCCACGACACTTCTGTCAGCTCTGCTGTGTCAAAACTGCCGATGGTCATGAGGCAGATGGAGGCCAGACTGCTGCCGATGCTGCTGTAGGTCTGCAGGTTAGCCCCAAACAACAGGCTGCCCATCTGAAGAACACACAACAAATGTACATGGCGTCATTCCTTACAGATTTATTTTCATTTATTGACAAAGCTCCAGTTACTGTAGAGTACCCAGCTGTTGCTGTGCTGTGTACCTACAAAGCTGTTGTGTTATGCCTGAGTGTGGCTATAAGTATAACGATACAGAAACAGGCACAGTGTACATAACTGATTTAGGTGAGTCAGTTTCTTGAGGAAGGGTGCTTGAAATTATTTTCTTTAAAAAAACAACAACAAACAAATGATAATGAATACCTGAGTGTACGCCATCAGTATAATAGCCACGACCATCATGAAGCCAGTCAGTGGTTTGAAGGACGTACTGATGGTGCCAAACAGGACCTGCACAACCTGTGGTTAACATACATGTGCAAATAATAAATCTCATAATAATTATTGTGTTTAACATGTTTGAAATACTGCTGCCAGTGCTGGTAGGAATATTTTTGCTTTCTAAATGTGTTATTGAGTTTGAGACATCTCTTGAAACAACCAAACATATGGTAACCACACAACTTTAGGGAATGGAAAATCTAAGATATTCAAGCAATGCAACTCCAAGACATAAGGCAGCTTGCAGGGAAGTTGGCAAAGTGGAACGAAATGGAAGTCTGATTGCAGCCCGAGGTTGATACAGCGACTACACTGTGCTGCAGAACACAGTTAATCATCATTCATCAAAAGAACCATTATGATAGCAATGATTTATTGTCACCTTGTTGAACCTGATGAGCCGAACCAGCTTGAGGGTGACACAGCAGATCAGGGCAGCAGTCACGTACGTGTACACCTCCACCCAGCCAGCCGCACGCCGGTACACCGAGAACTGGGTGTGGCTGCCGGGTTCACTGACCTGGTCGATCACCGACTGGGTCTGGAAGTACACGGCCAGGGTGGAGAAGCCGGCCAGGATGACGAGAAGCTCCACCCAGTTCCACACATCCTGCAGGTACTCAAATGGACTGGCTACCAGCTGCTTTCCTGGGGGGAGGCGGTTGAGACAGCTGTTTAGCAAAGTGTAGTTCTCAATTGAATGAATAAAAAAAATTAGAAATAACCGAGGCTCTCATCTACAAATGTATCTCCCAGTCTAATTATTTGATGATTGGGGCACCCAAGAAGACCTGACAGTCCAGTTTTCTCCACCTAAGTGTCATGCTGCTCCATTCTCTGATATCGTCTCCCACTTTTTCCATTGCCTACTCTTTCTTAATCTCTTGACTCTTTGTATGACAATTTCTGCTAGTCCCAATGACTGGGACACGTGGTCACATTCCTAACAAATTTTTTATAGCGCATCTTGGTATTGGTTATTATTCAGTATCCTTTAACAAATAAGGTAAATTCAGTTATTTTTGTGTACAATACATACCTTCTCTGTACACAAAGATGAAGAGGAACAGCACCATGACACCCTTCAGGGCTATCAAGAGGATTTGGGAGGTCTGGAAGAGGCGAAGTGTGGAGATCGAGGCTGAGGGGAAGGCGTTTCCGTAGTAGGTAAACTCCACCAGGAACGTCACCACGGAGAAAAGGTTGGCATCGGGGTTGTACAGGGTCGTTTCCACCTGAACAGAGTTAAAGAAACCATTAACATGTACAGATATATCAGATTGTATACTTTTGAAATAATCCTCATTAGAGTTCCACTTGTCTTGCTTTGTCTTTCTTGATGCCTGATAACACACCTATTCCTGGTGCTGAACACACTTCAGATAATACATACATGTACAGTACCTGTCCCTGGTGCTGAACACCATCCACACACAGACATGTTTGATGTTAAAACATTAGAAAAACTTGCAGACATGTGGTATAACAATGATGTTACTTACCATAACAGCCCGAGTGTTCTGATCCAGCCAGCCCCCATCCTGCAGGAGCTGTTCCTGTGTTAGGTTAGAGAAGCGGACAGATGGATCCAAACTTGTGCTGTAGCCCCCTCCAGTGTAGGTTCCATGCTCACCAAATGTTGGAAACCCTAAATAAATATAACACAGTAAACATTAGCAATGTAGGCAAGTAAAAAATTATGCTTCTTCCTGTTTTTGCTGCTGAAGTGATGTTTTAAAACACTGATGCATATTTTGACTTTTGGGCAAATCATCTCAATTCCTTCATAGATTTGATTCTCAAAAGGATCTTACGAAATACTAATATGTAGTTAATCCTTTTACTAATGAAGACTACAATATACTAATCAGAAATATATTTTAACTAGTACTAGTTCCATACAGTAGTTTCCTCCGATCAACGACCTTTTACTGCACTTTCCCGACTCACCATCAGTGAGAGATGCGAAGGTGTACACCCATGGCTTGAGCATCTCCCATCTGGTGTCAGTTGAAATGCTGCTGTTTTGCCAGCCAGTGCTGTAATTGGCTGCGTCCATGTCTGTCAGGGAGAAGCTCAGGACACAACGTGTGCCGTATGTTTGCATTCGCTCAGGCACATTACAGGGCAATCCTGGAGATAAAGGGGAATATAACTTTTTGATAGGCATTCATACATTGGATTGTTAAGAGCATACAGTCATGTAGTTTTCAAAGTCTCATACAATGTGCATTGTATTGTACAAAATGAATACAGATCTGTCAATATATTGGCATTACATGTACTATAAGTAGTGCATAAATTTGTAAATGACTCAAAATACTATCATGTCACCGTGGTGTAAATTGACTAGATTAAAACACTGTTACTAAGTGCAATCAAGAAAGAAAGACTAACAGCAAATCATTTTTATGCAATAGAATGAACACTTGAACAACTTCACAACGACTTACTAGGAAGGAAAATTCCACAAGCGAAAGAAAATATTTCTTACCAGGCTCCAGTCTGACCTGGCGCATGGCAGCTGTCCCCACTAACCAGGACTTCCCGTTCCCCATAATGACCCGTGCAGGGTTCACCATGCCGTTGTACCAGGAGTCCTGATACAAGGTTGGGAGGAGTCCAGCCTGCAGCCATGTCCAGAATGACTCCACATCTGCAACCTAGACATAAAGATATGATGCTTGGTATCATGCATATTTATGTGTCCTTGTTATAAGTATTTTATCAAACAGCACATGAAACCCACCATCTCTTGACTATGAGAGAACCATTTCTATAGTAATTATTGACATGTAGTCTTGTCCTTAGTGCTGAAATGATATCCACTGAGTAAAATGCATGTAGGATGTTGATTGTTCTTACCTCCTCGAATGTGAGTTCCTCTGTCTCGTGAAGAAGTGAGTTTCTGACTGACTCGTTCATGTGAAAAGCCATGGGATCTTTTTCATTGTAGGCAATCATCGTCACCACCAACACGAAGATCACAAACAACCATACCTATAACACAACATACATTTCAGGCATTAAATAATACATAATGTGTGTAGCCCAAAGTGGAGCATGCTTATTTTTCTACTTATTCTACATGTAAGTGAGCACCAAGCAAAAAACAGAAGAGAACCTCAATAATTGCACTGCGCCTTTTCTTATCCTCCAGTTTCTTCAGCCTTGCCTCTGAGAGCTCTGCTTTTCCAGGGGGCAGTGTCACCACTGGCATCTGTGGGGAGGACACAAAATACTTCAATACAAAAATTGAGAGAACACCCACACAGTTGGGAAATCAATTCAACAACTTTTTTCTCTCATCACTAGGAAAAGCTACTAGAAGTTATGTTTGAGAACGCATCCTTGATGCTGAAGATATGCTCCTACCCTGTCTCTTTTGGTAGGGAGGTACTCTTCAGTCTTGTGCAGAGGAGAAGGTGCAGGGTCTTCCTCTGTGACTGGTGACTGCAACACAACAAATGGAGACACATGTAAGACACATGCATCATAGACACAACACTAACTTTTACAGGCCTGGTCACACCTGCCCTTGGTGCTGAACACTATCCACACACAAACAGGTTGTGAACATATACACAAACATATTCAACTTATCTTTGGTGTTGAACACCATCCACAAAAAAACACCTGTCCTTGGTGCTGAACACCATTCAAACACAGCCAAAAATGTATATCATATATTAACAATTTTTATGTGTGCATTTGACAGATCTCTAGTGCAGCATTATACCAGGAGATTTTGTATTGGAGATCTCTTTTGATGCATTTTTCAGAATGGCAGATGTTTGTGACCTGGTAGAATCATGTATTATGTTATATCTTGCATCAAAATCATCACCTTGATGAAGAGAGCAAAGACCACTGCCACAACGACTAGTTTGACCGGTTGAATCACAATGATGTCTGACAGGAAGGATGTGACAAAGGCGATGCACCAGGCTTCTGCCTTTGGCCTCCCAAATGACAGTGTGTACAGCACGGTGAAGAAGGCTGCAACAAAACTAGCCGACCACACCAGCAGCCAGCCTGTTGTGACAGACAGTACCGTGTGTTACACATTCATTCTCTTGCTGTTAGGGACTAATTGGTCAATACAACTAATTCAAACTATTCTCAGAACTACCAATAGGAGCTCTGGATTCTTCACTGATAGATTACGGTCCAAATTACAGAGGTTCAGGATTTTCTTTCATTATGAAAACCAGCCATTGGCACCTACAACATTTTTGATCAATTGCTTATGTCACGTATCAGTAAAATCTCGTGTGAATAAGGTCACGTGTTTGTAAACCGTAATTCTCGCGAGATCACGTTGTGAAGTGATTGGTCATTAATTATCCTGATGAAGGCGACAGTGGTCGCTGAAAATTTGATCCCTGTACAATTGTGTGTTGGAATAAAGTTCAACCTTTTACTATGATTACTACCAACACAGATGAACTTTCATGATAACACTATGAGTTCTTGGTCTGACAATAATTTTGGCCAAGATTATACTAGCCAGGTACAATGTGTCAGGAGACTCACCAGTGCATATAGCCCACCACCGCACACCTCCTTCCTCTTCCTTATGTTGTTCTTTCTGGGAATCACGACTTTTAAAACTTTTATTATCTTCATACTTCTTGGATGTTTTCTCTTTAGATTTCTTGGATGGGCTTTTGTTGGCTAGCAATGATCTGTGTAAAAACATGTGCAGAGGTCAACAACTTCATGATTCTAATAAATTAATAACTGACAGAAGCAGACACCAATAAGTGCAAACATAGGCCAGGTGCTAATCTGATTTAGTCTGAACAGTTTTGATTGTATCTGAGAAACATTCCTTGATGCTGATATCAGATTCCATCTGATTAAGTCTAATACATAGTCTAATATATTCTCTATAATGAAAATGATCATGATTGAGTAGCTCACTTTGAGTTCAAATTAAATGTCCTCTCTAGTCCTAAGGAATACATCAAGATGGGTTCTTGTGCAGAAGCCTGGGTAGATGGTGATGTGGAGAAGAATGTTTTCTGGTTGTTGAATGTTTTCTTCTTGTCCACAGGCTCAGCTGCTGCTAGCATCCAGGACTGGTGCTTCTCAGACATTGTTGCACCTTCTTCTGCAGCAGCTGATGGTATAACAGTATTTCTTTTATAGATAATCTTTAGTGTCAACCTATTTGTACCGTATGTTAAATGTAGCTTGACTGTGTCTATTCAGAAAATCATCTAACTCCTTGAAATTTTTTTGGCTTGTGAATGTATTGGAACTGTGGAGGGGGTTGTATGTGTGATTGTACCGACCACTTAGTCCAACCCAGCAAGTGCTTGATCAACTTCACGCTTCATGCTCCCTGTCAGCCAACTGTACATGTAACCAAATATCCCGTACTCTCTCTACGTCTGTTTCAAATAAACTTACATGCAATCCACAATCATCAAGATCATGAAACTTGTACGTACAAGTACTACAATGATTGTTCTTCCTCTTCTTGGATGGTTTCCTACGGGAGTGCCTAAAGAAGAAGACAATGAGGATGTTGACAGGCATGATGATGGCAGCACTCTGCAAACTGATCATCAGCTGTAGGACAGACAGACAGGTACAAATGCTTAATCCTGGCAACAGGTACAAGATGAATTTCAAACAATAAGCACATTTGCCATGATACAAATAATGTCACAAGGAAACTGAAATCAATTGTTTAGAACTTGCATACAAATCTCAAGTTTCTTGACTCAAGGTTTCATTATATCAAGAAATTCTGAATAAGATAACTGAGAAAGGCTTTCAAGTTGAAGATGGCTTTTTTAATCATTGTTGTCATATTTCTTTAAATGAAAATTTGTCTATGAACTTGACCAGGACCAGTTATACAGTTACAGTATTACTGTCATACTTTAGGGAGATCAATTGGTGGATTCATTTCAATCCCTGCAATCTGGATCTTGTCTGGAGGGTCGAAGTTGTCTCCTTGTCCGAAGAACATGATGTTGGTGACCATGGTGCTGTACAGGAGCGTCAGGCAGCAGGACAGGCGCTGGACACGGGTGAACGGACTCCGGGCAGGACGGCCTTTCACTGAGAACCACAGGTGGCTGTCGTTTACGTCTCTAAACATAGTGGTTACCATAGAATACTTAAATTCATATATTTTTGCAGGGATTTCTCAGTGTATAAGTTTGCAGTTGAAATAATTCCAGAAGAGTATACAGTAGGGCATGTACTGCATGAAAGATGGTAACATAAAGGTTTGAAAAGGGAATAGTAAAATGAGCAGGACTATGTATATGGCATTATACAATGTCATGTAGGTGCAATATACAATGTAGGGACATGCAGTGGACAACACTTTCAAGTTTGGTTGGATCAGGAGCTCAGCCTGAAAAACTAAGTTAAGTGCTGCAGTATAGGTACAACAATGTACATGTTGCCTTTACCTCGATGTCTTGGACCGGAAAAGATTCACAAATTCTGTCATCTCCTCAGGGCTGGCTACAGGGATGAGACGTTCAATCTTCCCATCACCCTCTCCAACAGCAAACCAGCTGGGAAAATCAAGTTTAGATTTTTAGAAAAACTTAGTAATACTGGAACCTTGTTAATAACCTTGACAGTTAACATATTATTTAATGCACGTATTTCTGTAGCAATGTTTTGAAAACCACAAGTAGACATATCATTTACATTTTGTAACTACTAGTACTGGGGAGGATAAATTACCTGTTGCACAAGAAGTAGACAATCCTGTTTGTACCCTTCTCCTGAACCACAATCTGACTCAGGTACCTGCACAGGAATTAAAACAGAATAGTACAAAATGACAAGGTGGCAGTTCATCACACTTTGGGCTGAATGCTTCTCAGACTTAAGACTTTAAAATCAAATGTCAGATCTTACCATTCCGGGCTGTAGCCCGTGTTGTCATGCCAAATATGGACAACATGAATCATCCCGATGATGTTCTGTGACGACACCAGGAAGGAGTCCACGCTGCCCTCTTCAAACAGTGGACGGTTCTCGTCTTGCAGTGCGATCGGTCCTGTCCGTCCATAGTCTCCAAACAGATTAATCCATACCTACAAATGAGACTAGTGGTACTCAGTTGACTTGATAATAGCTAAACTAATGCCCATAGAACAGAGTAAAGCAAAACATTCATTTGGTCAATACAAAGACCTCCTAACCACTGTAAAGAAACAAAGTGGTGTGGCCAGGTGTCACAGTCAAGTGCAAAAAGTACCATGCAAAGAACAGTCCAGGGAAGAAGAAAGAGCTGTTAGGTAACAGAAAAATGGGTGGATAATATCAGAGAATGGATCAGCATGACTCTAACTGACATGTTAATAACGTTGTAGAAAACCAAGAAGGGTGGAGAAAACTGGTTGTCAGATTTTCTGTTGTGCCTCAATGTTAGAGTTAGGGATAGATGAGATGAGATACTGATGCAAAGTGGGTGTTTAAACAAAAGGAAGAAACAAAATCTGACCGACGCTGTTGTCCCAGCACCACCTTTAAATCCTGTGTACAGAGTGACGACATACTGACACCAGGGGTCAGGGTTCAAGGTGTGACCTTGGGGTGGAGCAACACCGACCTTCAGGAAAACCAGAAGACAAAACATCTTAGATTTTGTCTTTGTCTTAGAAAATAGAATATTTCTCCTTTGATGTCTTAAAATTTCTAATTTTCAAATGCCTTTACAAAACTCTCTTTGCTGTTTACCGTTTGCAAGATGTCAATTCATGGTTTCCTGATTCAGAATTAATGATACCTTAGTCAGATCCCGCCTGTCTGCCTTTCTGGCCCAAAGGACTGCCAGGAGGTACAACAGGAAAATCACCAGGACCAGGATCAATCCAATGGGGTTCTAGGAGATACACGAATGAAAGTAACTTAATAGCACCTTGTACAAGTACACGCAAACAATTATTAAAGAACTAGCAAAGATTAAAGAGTCAGATATAGCATGTAAAAGGCTCTACCTGAAGTATGTCCTTGGTAAACACTTCAGCAAAGTTGATGGGATTTGGAGCCACCAAACCAGTAAACTTGGTGAGGTGGTCACACCGACAGTGCATGTGGGTGGTGTTGGACAGGGGTCCAGGCTGGAGGGACACGTAAAAAGAAGTCACTGGTTGTTTTTTTATCGTTAACTCATTGCAGAAGCAAGGTTAAGATTACAATAAATGAAAAAGGTGCTTGTCACTTTACAAAGCTTACATGTAGTTTTAACTATGCTTTGTAAAGTGACAAGCACATTTTGATGTAGAACAGAAAATGCTTGGAACTGTTAAAACAACAGTTACTACAATGTAGGCATAGAATGGCAACTTTTCAAAATGTTCAAAGTAGTAGTAGTAGTAGTAGTAGTAGTAGTAATAGTAGTAGTAGTAGTGGTGGTTGCAGTAGTAGTAGTAAGCCTTTGTTTAATCTCGATAAACTTGTTCAGTCAAAAATACAACCATCTTTCAAGGTCAAGGGTGAGGTCACCCATGGCAAGTTGGAAACGCTATAGCGAGGTGTACTGCTAACTGATGAGGTTGCTTGATAGTCCTTTGCAATCAAAGGGGAAATAGATTGGTTGAAAACAAACCTACCTTGCACCCATCATTATGCCACAGATGGTCTTCCTCATTGCCCCACTCATCACCAAAGTACACACACATGGTCTCCATCACATTCACAGAGAAGTTTAGGTGTATGTCTGCATCTTCTCCATCCTCAAACTGGATTCCTGATAGTAAATGAATATCTCCATTACCTGGTTAGATGTATCTGCCACTTTGAAAAATAGTATGTTTGAGATATCTCTAGTACACCACCCCCAGGTGTGCACAGTTAAGATGTGCAGGGGTGTATCTTATCTTACTAGCTGGCTGTCATTTCATTGGAGGTCTGTTTAGGTGCATTTTCTTAAAGTGGCAGATTTTGTGGATTCACTCATAGCTGTTAGTTCAGCACCAAGGACAAGACCAAGTCGAGGATTATCAGCTGCGTGTAGAGCGCCTCGGATAGTGTATTGACAATATGAAAGACAAGGCTGTCTGATCTTGTAATAGTGAAGAATTTTATAAAAAGGTTCCCACAAGCAAGCAGAGAACGAAAGAGGCAGCACATTTCAGAAACATAGTAATATTGAGAGACACTGATCTACAAGCTGATGGCATCGGAAAGCTATGCGGAAAGCTATGCAAAACAGGAGCTTCTGGACTGCCGATGTGGTTTGCGTGGTAGAGAAGAACTGGCACTCGGTATACGTCAAGTGAAGTAATACCTAGGAAGAACAGAGTCTTGTTGACTACATCGTTTTCCGTGATGTCGATGTCCGGTGGCTCCAAAAGCCAGCTGTAGGGACTGGCTGTCACCGTGTCGTTTCCTGCAGGGATGGTGAACAGGTCTGCCTGGGGAGTCGGCAGGCTCACCGTCCAGTTGTACGCCTCGGGGGTGGGAGGGGCGTCCTTCCTCAGGAACAGGTTGACAACCGGCGAGGGATCCGTGTAGTTGTGACTAATTTGGATGTGAAGTGAGCTGCCACTGTACCTCACGTAAAAAGGCACTACCTGTGAAGTAAATTGTATTCATAATATACATATTTCTTGTAGTAACATTTATAAAGACTAACAATTTATATGTGATAATATATAGAAGTTCTCCTCCCTGTCCTCTGTTTCATCATGTCTACTTGCACCTTAAAATGTGTGAGAAGCAAGGAAATAAATTAGCATAAAGCCTTTAATTCAGACATTACCGTCACATTGCCGACATATGCTGAACCGATGTTCCAGCCCAGCATAATGTCGTCAGTTCTTCTTCTTCTGAAGTTCATGTCATCAGTGAAGTTGTCCCGTCGTTTGAAGATCATGTCAATAGGTGTTCCCAGGCCTGTCACGTGGTTGGTAGCTTCAGCCAGCTTGGACGTCAGACCCACCACGTCACCCATCACCAGCTGGGAGTTGTTGGAGTACTCAAACGGATTGAATCCAGCATGCAAGACCTAACAGAGGTAAATTTGATGTAGTTTAAGCACTCAGGTAGAACATTATGATATGTGAATAGTGCTTTCTCCTTGTTGTGATGACAACAAGCACAAAACAACAAGGAGAAAGCACATTGCCCTGATGAAGGCAGCAAAGCAGATACTGAAATTTCGGCAGAGAAAATATTATGGTTGTACCTAATAAAACTATGGTGATATGATAATTTTATGGCTTGTACTGGAGAAATGCCTACTCACGCTCACACCAGTCACTTCAGAACCTCCGCTACATCCGTCTGTCATGTCAGCTATACTAGGCACACCGAAGATGATGGGGGTGTTGTCCCCTGCACGAAATGCACTGGAGGAAAATGTGTTTCATTTTACTTTTACCAGACATGGTTTTAGAAAACATGTTTGGCTAGAATCCATGGAAAAAAAGTCACACACATTATACACAAACATCGCAAACATATTGGATACTGTATTTACTGTGAAATACTAATTACATGGTGGAGATCAGCTGTGAGCAAAAATACTACTTCATCAAGGATGTGTCCAGCTTAGATGGTTACCGGTAATGTTGTGTTTTAAAGAATGGCAATCAAATTGACAGCAAAGGAGACAGAGATTGAAGTCAAGCAGACCTGTTGGAGGAATCTCCACACGTCTCTCTTTGTATCCGTAGTTCTAGATGTTGTATAGCAATCATAGCTGGCGGCCAGGGTGGACCAGTGATGTCATCAGCAGTCATCATGTAGTTCAGGTAGATGTCATCCATCACATCAATGGTACGGAATGATGACTTTGCCACATCCTGGTTCTAGAGATTGAAAATAACAATTGTTGAACCAGACCATGATGGTAACTTGAACCTGATAACGTTAACGTTGAATGTGCGATGTGCTTTATGAAACAGAAACAGCAGGAACATTGCTCAGTGAGTTGATTATACTGATGCTTACTGCCTGAATTTTCTCAGAATACACAAGTCCCTGGCTGTGATCTTCTGCTGCGGCCCGTGCTGCTGCTTTCAACGATCCACCGATTGCTTACAGAGATAAAAGACAAAGAATTGACACATACATGTATAACTATATGAAATATATGCATATATATGAAATATACAGGTATTACATTGAGCACAATCAGTCATTTTTAAACTGTAGTGCCACCCTGGTAAAAGAATACAGAAATAAATATAAATAAATAAATACATTTTTAAACTGCCTGAGTTCCACTGCATGAAGATAATTACATGTACTTATATTTTTAACCACAAGCAACTCTAAAGTAGTGCAGGAAAGCATTTGAAACATTCAGAACTCAGCCCTACATTACATGAAACATAAGGATCTGTGGTCCTGCACCAAGCATTTGTCCTGCTCTATAAGGCTGACATACCAACGAATGCTGCTGCACATGCCGTGTTGACTTCAGCAACTGTTGTCAGCCCTGCAGCCACCTGGTCCCTAAAGCCTCTCAACACCGCAAGTGTCTGGTTTGCTGCCGACACCTACATTACATAGGACAGACACAGAGTATTAGATTCAATCTATAAGTTCCTTTGTTTGTTGCAGTTACATGTATTAAGACGTTATACGCCTTTATTTGAGCTAGAATTTGTTTCTGAACCAGTATGCTACCTATTTAGTTGTCTTCAAGCACAGTGTGTCACTTTTTCCAAAGTAGCGAAAGGACATATGCTTCGATATTTTGTGGTTGCACAGACCCAAACATAACAAAGCTGTACACAAGATAGGAGCTCTCTATGCATTGTCATCATGATGCTGCGAGTAGCATTTGACCAGGCATTAAGTTCAAGCCATCATCTGAAATGCAAACTACCAGTATGACGGACCAGTGTAGTGATGGAAAAAACTTGGGAGGTACATTGTATACATTGTATTTTGTCTATCAAAATGTCCTGGCATGGGGATCTGCTCTAATTAAAGGTAAGTTAGTCCTCTTCTTTATTGTTATCTTCATATGATGGGACAAGTACAAATGCCTGGAGGTTGAATCAGGGTAAGAAATCCTGCAGAGTTACTCACTGCAGCTGCAGGTGTGAGCAGGTCTGGATTCCCTGCTGCATCTGACAGGGCTGCCAGCACCGCCCTCTGTGCACCGAGGTCATTTGTGGTGTCAATCTCGTTCAAATGATCAATCACATTCGCAATCAGCTGGAAAATAGGCCAAGGACTACATTTGTATCATGTGCAAGAAACACACCATCCCGTATAGTACAGAGTGCTACTGTGAATATTTTATGAGATACATTATAAGAAGTGATATTAGAAGTATGGCAACTAACCTGTCAACTAATCTGTCACCAATAAACCCTGAAAATCTAAATGAAAGCATGATCATGGACCTTACTTGATGATGTGAAGTACAACTCAGGCACAAGGTTTTCCCTGTTTTGGTTAGTTTTTTTGTCATATAATTATATAATTTGATTCATTGACAAGATGGTACATACATTGTAGATACACTGAAAGAACATTGTAGCCAAATACTGCTACTGGCTGAATTACATTATTTTAGGCACGTTTGAAAAGTCCCTTTTTCCCTGTTTACAAGAAACACTAAAACATTCAAACTGTTTGACTAGTATACACAATCCAAAAACTACATAGTAACTGTTACAATATTCAAAATTATCAATAAACCTGAGGGTGCTTGCACAATACATGTGTCTAGGTATTCAGTTGTATGGATAATCAAAACATACATCTGTTGCTGCGTCCGGGTCTGTATTGGCAAGTTCTTGCCCCACCCCAGCGATGGCCCCTGCCAGCTCAGCTGCACCAACCCTGTCCCCTCTGTTCAGCTTTTTGCGAAAAGCACTGTCTGGTCCATTCAGGAGTGGTGGTGCCCATACAGAGGCTGGAGTATTACGTGGGTTGACCTAAAATCATGTAATTTAAAAGTACATTTATTCGTATCACGAGAGAAATGGTTCTGCTGTAAGACTCAGCCCAACTTGGCCATTGAATACATGTAACTCTTATACAATGTAGTTTCACCTGGTACTGTAAGACCCCCACATTAAAAAAATTTCATCATTGAGGCCCTCTCAAAAGTGTCTTTTTTAAAAATGCCTGCATTTGACGAGTGCACAGCTTGGGGATTACTGATGTCAGAAGCTACATCAGAAGTATCTATATTCTGCTGTTTTTTCTGTACCTGGCGGAATTATGAGAATTGATATGTTATGTAATAGTGGAGCCAGACCTTTCAGATCTATGTGCCAAACAAATTCAAATCAGGGAAGTCCACTGGTCTTTGTAACTGTTTGGGTTTCTTGCAATTTTCTCAACACAAACAGTAGAAGACACTGTATCACACACGGTAGGTAAATTCAGCATCTTTCAACCCCACCTACACAATTAGCTACAATGTATGCTGCTCATCCAAGAGTTGCATGATTGATCATTACAGACGGGCAGGTTCATACAGGGCAACAAATTAACACTATTCTAAATGAAACAGCTGAAGGCCATCAGGAGAAACTCCATCAATCAACTTCATGATGATTACAAACCTGGACAGAAATAGTTTGTATCCTGGTAAAAGGTTGAACTTTATTCCAACACACAATTACTACCAACACAGATGAACTTTCATGATAGTTTGTATCCTGGTTGTTGAAATAAAGGATAGAAAGTCATTGAACTTAGGGAAGGTCAGAGAATAGTTTGGAGCAAACTTGACCTAGAGAGAGTGGGTAATGATCCAGCAACAAAAGAGATGTGACTGAGGAATCTTAATTTTAGTTCCCATATTTTCTTGAAGCCGTTATAGGACAATCATACATTTTGCATTGTGATCTTTCTAAATGATCTCTAAGCAGATTCTCAGGGCTTTTCTAAATTGATAAACAGCTAAATCTTTAGACAACAAAATGTAACATTGCAACATTGGTTGGGTACTAACCACAATGCTAAAATCCTCGTCGTGATCTATTACTCCATCCACGCTTGTTATCTTCACTCGGAATCTTATCCTCCCAGGTGGCAGCAGGGTATTCAGACTGTAGTGACTCTGTAACAAAATGTGTAATCAGCATGTCAGTGCAGGGGACAAGCTGTTGTACCATGTCAATTATAGAACCTGGTAAGTGTGACCAGTTTTTGGTGGTCCTTTATGTAATTTTAGCATTAGTAATTGGTCCCCTGATTAAGTCTTCTTAGACAGTTTTGACTACAATGTTACTGTATGAAAAGTGAATCATTTGTCATTTCTATGTTTCACAAGACCTTCCCTTGCTGCATACTAAGCATACATGTAGAATGATGAACAACTTTGTCCATTGGAGTTATGTTGAGTAACTGTGCATTGCAGTCACATTTTTCACAGGTCATGGTACAATGTTGATGTGGGAGTTGATAAGATGTTAAATGTATAATACGAGTGTAAGAAAAATAATAAAATCATTGTTGTAGTACTTTAATTTAGAAATGAAACTATGGTGCACCCAAAAAAATTGAACACCCTTTTTTAGGTTGGGTGCACAAGTGCACCTATTCCCAAAGATGAATTTTGAGCCCTGCCAGGCCATAACAAGTGTCCTACCAGGCCACTGTAAGGAGATGTGAAAGCTGGAGTCCCTCTGGCAGGAGCTGTTGGGAAGGCGACAGCTGCCACTGGCTTGCCACTTTTCCACCACCGAAACTCATAGTTTACTGGGTGCAAGTAATACGGGAATGCTGTGAGAAAAAATGTGTAAAATGACATGTAAAATAACTGAAGAAGAAAATAGTGCACAATGTAAACTACCCTGCTCTCTGAGTTGCTTGATTCTTAAGTGATTGTAGCACAAAAATTTATATGCACTACTGTTTGTAAAATGACATCATGTTGGGGTTCTGTGAGTTCCTGTATGTGCATTGGAAGCTACGGATACTATCAGCAAATAAAGTCAAAGTCAAGTACATGTAATGCCATTTTAGAGCAAGTGATTTTAGTATAATTATAGCTTACATGTATAGTATAGATAGTTTGCAACATATCGGAAGAATGACTTTGGTGTTTCACATCGTTATGTAATGTACGTGACTGTACATGTCATAACATTTAACATACTGTAAGTGTTTGTACTGTAGTAGTAACATAATATTTTTCCAGGGCCCCCCTGTAAAGCAGTACAAATGTACTATGCCACCGTGATCTGCCACCCTAGCTACATGTACATATAAATAAAACAAATTATTTATAAGCAAGCAGATATGACAATTTAGGGATTTTGGTACCATAAAGGACCATACCTTCACAAGAAATGCAGGCTGGTAGTAATGGAATCGGATCACTTGGTTTCAGCTCACAAACGACCTGGCCAGGGCTGGGTTTTGTGATGATGTTGAAGGTGTACTCTGCATAATATGCTGTTGCTACACCACCGTTAAAAAGGGTTGCTCGGACGGTGTATTCACCTGCAACCTGAAGAGAAGAAATCAAAGATCTCATACCACCCTGGAAGATTTTTTTTTACTTCTTGCTCTATTAATCATATTTCTCATTGATTCTGCCTAGTATGCATTTTCTCACTAGCTCACATATTAGGCAACAGCCATACCTACATTATACATGTAGAAGGAAATTGAAGACAAAAACGAGATAAAGCTTTCTAGGACCTGACTTCCCCGTCAGTGTCCATAATATGCCTATCATATGGAAATAACTATGGACACACGAGCGTTACCGGTATTCCTCCTGAAACAAAATGCAGACAAAACAGACAAGACCTTGGATAAACTCTCTGAGCATCCGGATAACTCCTCATGCAGAGAATTTACCCAGTTGCTTAAATAGTTTTGTATTATGTGATGTTCTATATACGAGATGTCTAACCTTCACGACTTACCACAAATGTATCAGGAGGGAACACTTGTTCAAGCCCGGTGTCAGTCCCAGGCCAGCTGACCGGAGGTGCCCCCGCCGGTGAGGTTTCCATGGTCCAGACGATACTGCCCGCCATGGTGGTCTGCACCTCTAGATCAATACCATCCCAGCCCCGCGTCCGGGCAGAGTCGTAGTTCCAACGGCAACTGTTAACAAAGGGGGGGGGGGTAGCTTGAACCAGTTTAGCTTATTGAAGAGCTTCTTTTCCACTGGGTTGTGACAGAGAAGAAAGATGCTATGTACAGTATTTACAGTAGCATGCATGTTGGGATCGGAACTCCCAAAGTTTTGGTCCAGAGGCAGGGTACTGGACTACACAAACTGTTGTAGGAAGTGAAGAGAGTATTCTTCACATCATTCTGTCATAATATATGATATGCATAATTACATGAATGCTTCTGGATGGCTAACCATCCCAGAAAATAGCAATTTAAAGTTTAATGAGACAACAAGAAAAAACAAGAAGGGTGGAGAGAACTGGTTGTCAGATCTTCTAGGTGGTTCCTCAAGGGTAAAAAATATACAGTAATAGACTAAGGCTAATAATTGTCAAAAGCAATAGTTACTAGATTTGGAGACTGGATCCCAGTGGTCCCAGCTCTGTGATGATGATGTAAGTTCCAGACAAGCGACCCGCGTACGAGACCTCCACGGTGTGCTTGATGATCGTACCCTCCAGACCAAACAAGCGACGCTGGTTATCTACTGACTCAAAATGATGGCACACACGGTCTTCAGGTACAGATGGCTCAGTGGTGGTCCCGGAGACATCAATAACTGCTTTGGTCACTGCAAAGAAGTATTAAACTCAGTAACGTTATAGCTTTTCAATTCAAGATTTCTAGTTAGCAATTATCCCAGAAATATACATTTTTCTAACTGAAACTTTGTAGATTATCTTTGTAGATAATATTTTGAATGGATATAAAATTAGTTTAACCTGTTTGTGTATACATTGTTTTCATATCCACTAATTACAATTTTAATGTGTATATTCATGACAAATAAATGGCAGATCAGGTGAGGGAACCCATGCAACTCTGTACCAATAAACCAATAAAAACATTACATGTATTATGATTATCATTGTTGTTAAAGAATAGACAAGAATAAAGTACACACTTGTACAGTAGGCTGTATCACAGAAACGGCCATAAGGGAGGAAGTAGACATAGTAATTCCCAGGACAAGCCTTAGCCATGATGTCGATGCTCAGGAAGCAGGGATCGCCGTTAAAGTACCCGCACATTCTGCGACACACGTGGCCCTGAGACAGGACAGGGTGGGGCTCCACCATGTACCAGCCAAGGGTGGTACTACACCTGAGCACAGGGGAAAATAATCATATTGTAAATAACTTTATATCAGTATCAAAGTAAAAGTAAAGTAATAGTACATAGTATTACATGTGTACAACATCTGATGAACAAATGGTACTTCCTTTACAACATAACAATATAATTTTCTGTATAAGGTAGCCCACTCAGTCTAAAACTCCTGTCACACATTCAGGACCTTCTCACAACTTTCCCCTTACCACTCTCCAACGAAGGTCATCACTGGGTTGGGAGCAGACTGGAATCTATCATTTTCTAGTTCCACTTTTAATTTGTTACTCTCATTGCATCTGTGCAGAATATGATTTTACTAGACCAACCTTTACATTTGACCAACTGGTTTTCACCCAATCTCACTGGGAATGACCCAGGTAGCTACTCTTTTCAACAAGTTGTCTTTTCAACTTAACATACAGTGTCACCAAAAAATAAACAACAAGCAGAGCAGGACAAACAAATTCAGATATGTACACTCCCGAATTGAGTGGGTCCTGGTCCAGCAGACTGTTTCCAGCTGCTCCCTCCACACGATACCAGCCTGGTGTAAAAGTCAGCCCATCACACTGCTGGCCGAGCCCATTGTTCCAGTCACGCCAAGAGTCGGTCAGCGAGAGGTATCCAGTACAAGGGTCTACAAATGCAACAAGAAATCTCCAGGTTACTTAATATCTGCCACTTTGAAAAACTGACATGTGTATGTTTGAGAGATGTCTAGCACAGCACCCCCGGGTATACATAGTTTAGATATGCAGGTCAGTGCATTTTACTTGCTGACATTGCATTGGAGATCTGATAGATGCATTTTTCTCTCAAGTTCCTTGCATGGTAGTTTTAGCTTCTCCCGATGACTGTGAGATGTGACAATACCACTTCCACTTCAGTTTCTTATAAATCAATTGCACAGCTAAAACAGTCCAATAACACAACATTATCATCTCTAGATATACAAGCAAGATGTGTAGTCAGGCTATATTTCAGAAAGGAAATGAATTTGAATTACCCATTGTTGATTCCTGTAGTACCTCATATGACCAAGTGTAAGTGAAGGAGGCACTGTTCACGATGTCCTCTGGGTCATGCGAGGCGTCGGCTACAGTCAGGTAGTCGTCTGCCGCCACAACTTGCCTGGTCCCCCCTGATATGAAGCCGACCAGTGCCTGCTGCACCAGTGCCAGCCAGGTTCGTTCGATGTAGGTGTGCTTCACACCTGAGGTCTCTGTCACCGTCATTTCTAGCTGCAAGGTAACCACACCCATCAAAACAATCATCGCACCTCCTGGAACAGGTCTGAACAAGAACTTCCAGCACAAAAAATTGAGACTTTTTGACTGTTCAACTCCAGTCATCAATTCTAATGACAATCATGGACTGGATATCATTCAAAATATAGTGAAACAAAAGTGAAGGAACTAATCAACCAATTCCAGACAAACAAAAACCTGAGAACGTCAGCAACAAAATGGAAGCCACCTTACCTCCAATAAAAATTCGCCAACAGCCACTGTGTTCCCAGCAACAACAAACTCAGTTGCAGCGGCAAGAGATGTCTCAACAGTTAGGGCAGGTGGTACCTGTGCTTCATCCAGCCTAGATGGAATAATGGATGGGACATGATTACCTCTACAGTGTCTAAATAGAGTTGGGTCTTCCATTACATTGTACAATATCAGAATTGGTTCTTGTCTGTACAGTGTTAGAGTCAGCTCTCACCTGTACAGTGTCCACTGCTGAGCTATAGTTGGGTCTCCGTTGGTGCATTCCGCTGCCACATCGCTGGTGAACTTGAAGCCGTACTCCGCCAGGAACACTATCTTGTCTGTTCTTGGCCTGACCCCCTCGAACAGCACAGCGCTCACTGTGCAGGCACTCACTACAGCTGTGCCGTCATCCACACAGGAGGTCTGGGTCAGCGAGGCAGGGCAGGTCCATCCTGGAGGGAAGTTTTCAGATTTCAGTTGCCAGTGCTCTCTTAGATATCAAAATGACAGGTATCAAGAACAGCAGCATAGGGTGATTCTCGGGAGTGATAATATGATAATAAGTTATAACATATTGTATAACTAGTGGTAGCTTTTCTTAAAACAATTTTCTGTCAAAGGCCATCAGCTGACTAACTAAGAACCAAAAGTCAAGAATATCCATCAATAAGTATTGACTTTATTTTTCTTATACTAGTAAGCCAAAAGCAGACAGGTGTGAGGTGGAAGAGTGCTTATGGCTTTTTTCACTTATAAATAACTAGAAAAATTCATGTAATGACAGCCATTGTAATTTCTAAAAAATCATATCATTTCTTTCTTAGATCTAGCGGCCAGACAAAGCAACCCTGAAACGTTATCAGATTCAGTAAGTTCTCCTATTCATTCCGACAAACATGAATAAATGACATTGAGGTAAAATACAGCCTCCTTAAGTCAGGTAATCAGCTGTAGGTCAACTCTTTGATGTGGTCTGATGTCCTGACATGAAAGCTACCGCCCATCACACTTCCATCGTACAAGTCAGTTAACATGTCGCATTCAACCAATCTTTTTTCCATCATCACTGTTGATGGAAAGCAGTCTGGCACATATTAGGTCTTATTCTATACTTTTTTGTACTTGGCCATACATTGTACCACGCGCAATTTTCGTGCAATACAGTTCTGTACTAGTGTAAAGTTCTGTATAATGACAAAGTTTCTGATATTTGTGACCTTTTAAGATAGGCTTGGAAAAGTGGAATGCCATATTTGTCATTCAAAACAAGTATCACTTGCACTATGTTGATTGTACTTCTCAGAAGAATAACATGGAAAGTAGCTGCAACATTTGTGTCAAGGCTACTGCATCTTGACAGTCACATCTATCATTCATCCATTCCATAAATGTACAGCCAGAATAAACGATCAGTCACGAAATTGAGAGGTTGCACTGTTGTGCCTAACTACTCTCAACAATTTGATACCATGCAATTATTTTCCTGGACATTCCTATAAAAGAATTTCTTACCTGCACATAAAGTGCCGAGTTGGAGATCTTGGTGCTCACACACACAGGTGGTACAGAGCACACCTGTGTCTGTCCCGGTGTGACAGGCGCAGGACTTGTCCGGCGCATCGTAGCAGAGGGGAGCCTGGGACTGGATACTGGCCACCAGGAGGGCAAACACTACAACATCAAATCATGATGTTTCAGTTCACTTTATCTATTTTACCAGGATATACATGTACAGGCAATTTCATTGTTTGAAATAATCTAGAGATTTTTTTAACAAACTGGCATCTTGAGATTCTTTGAAACCATCTCAAGATTCTTTGAAACAACCTCAAGATTTTTGAAAACTTCTTTTACATTTAAAATTGATGTTAATCACTATCAAAATTATATAGCAACTTATCTATGGCTAGAATTGTTGAAAGACAAAAATAATGTTTAGTGATAGCAATCTTAATTACAAATTTCACACACACAGATCATAAATAAATGATGAGCCAACTTTTGAAAAACTATCTTAAGTCTGATGCATCATGCATCCAATAAAAAAACCTATCATTCTTTATATACAAATTAATAAACATCCATTGGCATTACAACTATACAAGCATAATCCTACCAACTGTGAGGAGTTGCCACCGTGCTGTAAGCAGTGTTAGGGTGTCACAAGAGCCTGACATCTCGTGTGTCCGTCCTCACACAGTAATCATGGTGCATCTATCCTGCCGCAGCTATGGCCGCTAACACACACATATTCCACATCCAACATACAGGAACAGACCAAGTAAGTTACAGTCGGCTACCGCTGCATGGGTAACCACAGAGATGATGACGGTAGACCTGCGTCATGTGGCCCTGTCTGAAAGTATGGTCCATTACACATGGGTGTGTCTGGTGTCAGGATAGGGGTCATACATGTATAACGTTATAGTACATGCACATATTGTTGCAGAATGCATCTGTCATAGGAATTATTCATTCAACTAATCAAATGTTCTGAGTGTGCATGTAATTTCACAAATTGAAAGACTGTAGTACTTTCATCTTCTTTATAATATGCGTCAGCCCAGCTATTGTGCAACAGGGTGAGGAAATTCATGGAAAATGGAACTAATGTTGCAATATGCTGCATATTGCAACATTAGTTCCATTTTCTATGAATTTCCTCACCCTATTGCACACAGCCTTGTCCTTTATGTAGGCCATACACGTATCTGTTTGTTTCACGTTCCATAGTCATATCGGCCTGCAGGTCATTTTTGAACTCCCAGTCTCCCACCCTGTAGAAACTAGTAGGCTAGTAAGATACAGATTTTATAGCAAAATAGATATTGATATCCAACATAATTTTGTGTCTTTCAAGCCTGGTCAATTACATTATTGTATCCTGCCTCAAGTGTATCTGCAGTGTGTTTGTGTGAGCATGCGCGCACGTGCGTGAGGTGTGTGTGTGTGTGTGTGTGTGCGCACATGCATGTGTGTTACATGTGTGTGTGTTTGCTTAGGTATGTCATATGTACAGTACAAAATGTATTTGAATGCATGTGCAGTGGAGTGGCAGGAAGTGGCGGGTGTGTATTACTGCAGATTGACCTGAAGGTCAAGCTAGAAGTGCCTGCAGGTTGGGGAGAAGAGTTACAACATCTTGGGTATATCCACTGATGGCTTGTCACAAGAAACTCTCAGTCTGCAAGGTGTCTGTCCTAGGTCTATTGGAAGTATGTTAGATTCACTTGTACCAATAAATTCACAAAAACTCTACATACTTCCCGGAGATTTGAAATCTCAGATTTTCTTGTTCAGTTTTGGTCCACTCCCCAACTCCAATATTGACACAACAAAAGTACAGAGACTTTTGCAAGGTTTGTAAATAAACATACAGACAAACACGTGGGTACAAAAGAAGTATTACCTTCGTGAAAGTCTACCAGGTGCGCACAGATGTTGGAGTAACAGTCACCACGCCTCCTAGTACTCAGTCAACCAAGTTGGCACGTGGGGAGGGGGGCGGCTTCATGGTTTCATGACTTCAGAATGTGAATAAAAGTATAACTTCAAGCTAGCAGCATTACTGCGTGGTTCTCATACACCACAGGACATCTACAGTCGTCGCGTAATATCTACTTTATGAACAAAAGTCTGTTTTATGAAGATGAAGTGCGGGACAGACTGCCACACGCAAACTCACCAGGAACTTGGGGTCGACTCGAGATGAATCTGGACAGTTTTTACTGAACTGTGAATGCCTAGTAGTACATTTTACTTTGTGACAAGACTTAGCACTAAGAATGCGGACTAAATATAATAAGTCCACTTTATTTCCAGCATCGCAACTGTTGTCCTGCTCAGCAACCATCTTGAACAGAGCATGTGAGTTTGCAGCGCCGCCTTGTGGACTAGTAAGAAACTGCATCGTACCGACTTCAACACGCGTGCGTGAAAACGTAATCTCCAAGCAGATGAAGTGGGGTTATTTTGTACAGTCACACTCCTTGTGCACACACCTCAGCGCCCCGTCCTAGGGGAGTCTAACCACAAGAAGCTGGTGATGAACGAAAACGAACGTTAACACAACTTTGCACCAACTTGCAAGCGTCACTGTGTATTAATGTGCGTCTAGAG